AAGGACTTCCGCCCCTCGCTCAAAGGTATTTTGGCTATTTAATAAAGCAAAAATTATACGGATTTTGAACACAAAAACAGCTTCCACATGTATTGTGTTACAAGAATAATAAAATACAACTGAAAACACAGGAGACACATTATTATTTTATTTTTTTTAATGAGAATTACTACTTTAATGTAACTTTCTTGAACCATTAATGTTGAAATAAAAATAAACACACATAAGTAAACATTGTACCATTTTTAAATTCCTGTTATTGAAATTATGAAAAAAATATAAACATATTCTCTGTCCATCTATCTGACATTATCATGCAGTCTCCAGCAGATGGCATCCTTCAAACATAATTTACATGAAAAGAGGGCGGGGACAGCTTGTGACAACTGCATTTTCCGGAAGTTGCTTTCAAATAAAAATAAAAAGGAAATAAGATAGAAATGTTGAATGAATTTCCACCAGTTCAGTGTCTCTCCTGAAGATTCACATCCTGCTGCTCTGCAATAAGACACGGATCCATTCACAAATGATATTCTACACGTAAGGTTTGTTTGGCTTTCCCTCAACGAAAGTTCAACTAGGAAAACCTGAAACAAGAACCAGTTCTGTGAATCTCCTTCCACACAGGGAAACGTGTTAGTATCTGGCTGTTTTTGTTACAACAATGACTCCAGTAACAATTTTGCAAACTTTTGATTCAGCGTTTTCGGTGAGATTTTCGACCATGAATACCATGTTCCAGCATATAAATCGTAAGTAGTTGCTGCTTTTCTATGTCTTTATGATGGGTACCCGAATATAATTGAGTTTTGCTGTCGGTCGTGCTAAAAATAGCATTTTGATTAGTATTTTCACAGTTTTAATGGTATTTTTTTCAATCAAATGCTCCTCTGAATAATTAAGGAAAAGTTGGACCCCTAATCAGTATCAGTTTTTTTAAATTTACATCACGTATTTCCACTGGCTTTACTTGTCTTAATATGTATTTGTTTAGATTTCAATCATCAGTTTGATCGACAGAAATTACTGCAACAATTTAAATTATTGAAAAATCGTTTCATTTAATAAGTCACTGTTTCTCAAAGCAAAGCTATTCGTTTTCTTCCTGTCGTCCATAAAGGTGAACTTAATGTTGTTTTTTTTAACTGAGAATAAGCCATGTTAAGATCACATTCTGCCCTGACAAAAATATATAATGGCTAAGAGTTGTTTTACTTAATAATTTAAAGTGATAAACTATAAGTATCATTGGGCTTGTAATTCATCAATTTAAAATAAGGAGGTGCAGTCAGGAGCTCATCGCACAAAAATGTGTTTCACAATAGGCATTCCTACATGCAATGTAACCACCCAACGAGAGAGACAGGTTTCCCTACTGTATATGTACTGTCATGTACTACTTTTTTACTTCTTCTGCAGCCTAGTGATAATATTATGAATTGTTATAATGCCATCAGCTTGAAGACAATAAGTCCAGGGTTGCAAATGTAGTGTTTGCTGATAATGGGGATGGATTGAAAAGTACTATGTAATAATCCTAATGAAAACCTCCAACTATTTTGTAAGATATGAGAGTAAAAGTTAGTTTTAAAGTAGCTGTAGCTTAAATCACAATCTCACTTTAAGGAGAATTCAGGAGCTACAGTAGCTGTTGGACATAGCTGCTATCAGCTGATGGAGTTTGCCCATTTTTCATAGAATTTAAGATGTTTACATTTCCAATTCATCTGGCTGCCTTGAGGTCTCTCATCAATGTTGGCTTAAACATTTAGATTGCAAATCAAAGTGTTACATTTAGTCACAACTAGGCAAACTAATTTGCTGCAGTAGATTTTGTGTTTCAACCAAAAACTCCAGGAAAGCTAATAAATGGACCTTGAAGTATTGATTATTTTTTTAACTCTGGTCAAATATTCTACGGTACTGGAATTCAAACTGAGCTCAAAATAAATAGGCCTAAAAACCCACAAGGAGGACTATCCATCCATCACAACATATCTAAATATTGAATTTGCAGTCGTTATGTGAACATTTATTTCCTATAGTGCCAGTAAGCCTTACACATGGAAACATTGCCATGTCATTAAGAGGAAATAGATGTTTTATTGGGAGCATAACAATGTTCTCCTTTGATGACTCCTTGTGTGCCCTGTTTAACGTATCTTTATTTTGCGTCTCACTATAATTAACTGCCTGCACAGGCACACACTTGCCTCCTCATGTGTAGCAAGTGTATTATACATATATGTAAATGTGGTAATAATTTCCTTTTTAACTCTGACATTCTTGTTTTTAGAAAAACATTACCTTTATGCCCTTGGACTGGTGGTGCCCTGGTGCATCTATCGCTGGTACAAGGGTAGCAGGAGAGTGACCAAAAAAGAAGACAAATATGTCTACATCACTGGCTGTGACTCTGGGTTTGGTAATCTCCTCGCGAGACACCTTGACAAGCAGGGCTTCAACGTGATTGCCGCCTGTTACACTGAGAAGGGTGAAGAAGAGCTGAAGAAGATCACCTCCGACAGACTGGCGACTCTTCACTTGGATGTTGCCGACTCAAAGAGTGTGGAGAAAGTCGCAGCTCTCATCAAGACTCTGGTTGGACCGAAGGGTAAGTGGCTTTGAGTTGCTCATTCCCTTTCATCACAAGTTTCTAATATCCTTAAACGTTTAGGGTAAATATAGTTAGGTTAGCTAGAGCAGCAACAGTAGAGCAGCAACAGTAGAGAAGCAATGATCATTCCTTTTCTTTTATTGCCCAAATCTCATTCATTGCCCCCCCAAACAATGTCTGGTGAGTCCATAGTCATGAATCGCACATTTAAATTGGGTGGTGCTGATCATGTCTAGAGCATGCAGACTGAAATCAGTTGAAAATAGATACTGACCCTCTGAAATTGTTAAAATCGACCGATCAGCCCCTCAATAATTGACCTAATATCTTGTTAGCTTAATCATTTTACAATCTAATCATGATATCATGTCAATTAAAGGGTTATGTGCCAATGTTTCAGAATAACCTGTGATCATGTTAGCTGGTGGGGATAGCCTGAATACTTTGGTGGTTGGTTGTTGTAATGACAAATATTTCTCACCTTTTCTGTTTCCCTTTTGTTTTACGCATGCCCAAATGTCCAGTGCATGTTAAAATGTCACCTACCAATTTATAGATTACCATTGTTCTATGGCCTATAAGTAGAGTAATGCTATTCTAGTAGCATCCTGAATATTTTAGCAGCTATTGGTAGGTTAATTATTATTATCTGTTTCCCCCAGTGTTTTTGCCAAGCTAAGCTTGTGGGTACTTTCTCTCTTGGCTTTATGTCTTAATATTATCTTGTTGTGTTCTCCAGGCCTCTGGGCCGTCGTGAACAACGCTGGAATCGCTCTGCCCTCCGGCCCCACTGACTGGATGACTATATACGACTACAAGAACATGCTGGCTGTCAACCTGTGCGGGGTGATCGACGTCACACTGAGCGTCCTCCCTCTCATCAAGAAGGCCAAAGGCAGAGTGGTGAACGTGGCCAGTGTGTTTGGGCGAGTAAGCGCCTTTGGGGGGCCTTACTGCGTGTCCAAGTTCGGAGTGGAGTCCTTCAACGACAGTCTGCGGTAAGAGAGATGTTGCCTTTTTAATGCTGCACACACATTGTTATTTTCACAAGTGTCTTTTTGACTTACAGCCAACATCCTTTGTGTTACAGTCTAAATATGGCACCGTTTGGCATTAAGGTAGCATGCATTGAGCCAGGCTTCTTCAAAACCAATGTGACTGATACAGTGGCGATGAAAAATAACCTGAGGCAGCTGTGGAAGCGACTCCCTCAGGATGTGAAGGAGGACTATGGACCGGATTACTTGCAAGCATGTGAGTCACTCTACATTTTTAAATGTATAATAACCTTTTTTTAATTGTTATAGCTCAACACTTCCCTGATTAATTCACCAACATTAATGAGATGGTTTGTCAATCTGTCTAAATCTTCACTTTAACATAAGTATCAACTTTTCTCTCCACTGTCTAATATTTGAAGACTTTAATTTAAGTATTTTTTGTAGTATAAGCAAAATCCTAATTAAATGGCTCATATTTGTGTGATGTACAGTATATTTACTTGGATAAAGAAAGCAGAACAAGTAGTGAAAGTGGTAGTGAATGAATATAATAAGTGCCAAATTAAACATTTTTCCAAGAAACTTCCATATTATCAGGACAGGAACTAATTACAAACGACTAGATCTGTACATTAAAGTGTTTCCCTGCATCTCTTTCAGCTATTGACATGTTGGAACAAAGGTTTAACATGTTGACTGACGGGAACCTGATGAAGGTGGTGTACTGCATGGAGCACGCCATCTCCGCCGTTTACCCTCAGACTCGCTACTCCGCTGGGTGGGACGCCAAGTTCTTCTGGCTGCCTGCGGCCTACCTGCCAACCAGCATCGCTGATAGGCTTTTCCGTGGAAATGCCCCTCCGTTTAAACCAAAAGTATAAGTAGTTCCTGCCAAATCAGTTGTGTTAGAAAAACATGGGCTAATTTAAAGATGTCTTGTCACTTTTATATTACTGCTATAAATGTTTGTACATGAAGGTTCATTGAAAATACATAAACATTTTCTGTATCATCACCAATGTTTGGCTCTTCATTCCTTTCTTTGACCCCTGAGACATTTGCATGCCTGCTCTATTGATTATAAGATCTAATCTAAAGCCTTCGCAGATAACGGACTTTGAACTCCGACAATAGCTTTTGTTTCTTAGGTTATATGATCGTAAACAAAGAGTCACTACGAGTTGTAAAGCTTTTGCTATTAACCACTTTCTCTGTTTAAAAACCTTCACATATTTATTTCCCTCTAAATTGAGAGAGCAATCTGTCACCTTTATGCAGAGTTGTTGTTTGCAGAGTTTATTTGAGGTAAAGAGGGAATGCAGTTATCAAATCCAGGGGTCATGTAATCTGGTGTTGCCTATTACACAACCGCATGTTGGTGAAACATTTAACTCTGCTGTTGTATCCATTATGGACCTTGACACTGCAGACACACACTGAAAACGATCATCCGATGAACCTGAGACAAATACGCTGAGAAAGGATTGTAACTTCAATTATTCTCTTCTTCTGAAGACCTGCAGCCATGGTATGTTTGCACTATTATTTTACACATCTTGAATGAGTGTAAAGGTGCTTTGTTCTCATTAGAAGAACCCACACAGGATTTGGATACTAACCTAATTATTTTTAATTTATTGGAGTTCAAATGAAGTGACAGATGACGGGTTTTGTTCTTTTTAACAAAACTAGCATATGTGATTTTAATGCTTTCTGGTGGTTTGATTTGATTCGTCTACATTTTGAAAGAAATGCCAGCACAGCCAGACAGTGTTACACTCCAATAAAAGTTGCGAAGATACCATAAAGCTCTTAAGACGTATTCCATTGTGCTTCCTTTGAGAGGAAATTGTATAAAAAGGTTTACTGAAAGATACAACAACAAATCTTGCTTACCTTGTGTTGGTTTGTATGCAGATTGGTTTGATCTGATCTCCACTGATAAATACAATGAAGGTTAATTTGTTTGTGGTAAACAAAGTATTATAACCAAATATGGTATATTATGATAAAAAAAAAAAATGCTTGTGTTAAAATAACACATGCATTCTTGTGAAAGGAGGATTTCACCATGTGATTGTGGTGGAGCTTGTTTAATTCCTGCCTAGCCTGTACTGGAGTTATGTATTTGAGTCATTTCAGACTATGTGCATGTACTCATTAGGAAGTAAATGTAGCAATACTACAGTGTAGAAATACTGATACATGTTAAAGTGTATACATTTAAAACTATTGAAAAGTGTCATGGCCAGATAAAGCCACTAGATGGCGCTGGAGCAGTAATGAGCTTTTAAACACATTAGGAATGTGTTTTGGAGCCTTCTTTGATCAGGTTGAGTTGCCCTTCAATGTCTTTGTTTTGTTGATGGCATAGCTACAAGTTAATATCATACAGTGTATGTTTAATGTGTAGGTTATCACAAATGGGGGGCCTGTTATTTATCTGTCCTTCACTTTGGTGCATTTCTCACATCAGAATTGAACTCCTGTCATATGTTTTGAACACATTGTAAATGCTTTGGCATATGTAATTGATAAGGTGCAATTCTCTGCTGTTTCCTACATGATCAATTTGATCAATTGCGTGTCATGTTTATCAAAATGTGTTATTCGTTTTCTCTGTCTACAGCTTTCATACTATATCTTATATAAATGTCCATGAGACTCTTCCTGTAAAGAGATCCTGGATTTAATTATTGTAGTCTGAATCATGACACTAACCAATACTGGTAAATAATGCCGTTTGATTAACCAGTTAATTAAAAAAAAAATCACTTTAGCAAATGGTTAATAGATAGAGGCATTGGGTATTCCTTTGTAGCCTTCCATGTTTGTGAATCATCTAAGATGTTTGAACTGAACAAATACATCTAATATTTCTCTACTCAGGTTTTAACAGACAATCTGATGACGTATTTAGTAGAGGTAAGTTGATGTCTCTTTGTTGGCACAATTTCCGTAATTATTCCCTTCTACTGTAAGTTTTACAGAGAAGTATAAGGAAAAAGAACCATGATGCCATATATTAATATTGATATTATAACAAACTTATTTCTAAAGCACCTTAGGCTATATAGGCCTACAAGAAATATCGCTAAAAGTACTTTAAAACTGAATAAAAACAGTAACATTATTAAGTAACAGTTAACAAATGAAGTTGTTAAGCTTATTTGTGCTCCTGTTGAACATGACAGCGACAATTTGAGATTTTTTTTGTTTTTTTATACCTTGAACGTTTTTTTTTTTTGGTTCTCTTTGTTATCATTATTATTATAATTATGATTGTTTGTTTTGTTTCTGACATGTTTGTTTCTACATTGACTAATAAATATAAAAAATAAAACAAATTAAGTTAGAAAGAAAGCTATTCACAAGAACTAACAAAAGGACATTTTAGAGGCAATAATGTTTTGTGTATTTTAGGTAATGCTGTCACACCTGGCGTTAACCTGCGCTTTACTCCTGGCCTCTGTCGCTGCGATCCGCCGGTTCATCAGAGAGTCCTACAGGGTGGGGGGCTTCGGGCAGAAGCATGTGTTCATCACAGGCTGTGACAGCGGCTTCGGGAACCTGTTGGCCCGGCAGCTCGATGGGAAAGGCCTCCACGTCCTGGCTGCGTGTCTCTCAGAGGAAGGGGCAGCAGACCTGGCAGCAGCGACCTCCTCCAGGCTAAAAACCCTGCTGCTGGACGTCACAGACAGTGAGAGCATCAGGAGGGGGGTGCAGTTTGTGAGCAGAGAGGTCGGAGAGCGAGGTGAGGCGGCAGGAGGTGCTCACAGATAGGGTACCAGTCAGAGGGAGGCACTGGGAGAGATAAAGCCAACCTGGACCATCAACTCTTCATCCTCCTAGGCCGGGAGACCTTACCTCATAGTCTGCATTTTTTTTACAAGACAGTAACATAATTAAGCTTCTCCAAACATACATTTTATTGATAAAATAAAACAAAGTTTATTGGAGTTTATCAAGACTACGTTTGATTGTGTAGGTTTGCGTAGTGGACATAACTCCAACAATATGTAATGCTAATCTACACTGATTTATTGGCATCTTAATAACGATTAGATGTCAATCCATCATTTGCACTGCATGGGGACATTTTTATAAAAACTGGTATTACATTTCAGAATCTGATCTTATTCATCATTTATTAATTATTTAACATTACACAGTAGGCCTACTTACAGGGCCGCCCCTGGCCAACTTGGGGCCCCAAGCGACATTGTGAGATGAGGCCCCCCCCAACCAACAGGAGTGAAACACATTTTTTTGGAAACAAAGTAGGCTACTTATATAAATAGAATTCCTGTTTATTATTAGTATCAACACAGTTACTTTTGTATACAGTGAGGTAAATGGTAAATGTGCATGTACGTCTGCATTTCCTGCCAAATACTAGCCTCAAAAAGATTAAAATATAATGAATGCAAATAAACTACTTCTACTAATAATAATAATAATAATCAATTCAATAATATAAATACTATATTATTTTATTATAATTTAGTTGTAATATAGTCAAGACAAAACATGCTTATGACATGCTCAAAAACTGATATTTCTTAAATCTGTATTCTAGTTCTCTCTGTCAGCAATGTATCAACAACTACACACACATTTCTATCAGTATTTCTCTGTGTTGTGGTTGACATGATGATGACTGTTAGGAGTTAAGGGGAGAGGCTGAGCATCACCATGAAATGTGCAAATTGACATAAAAATGAATAAAAGGGGAAAAAATGCTCCATGTTTTTTAGGCTGTAAACTTTAACTGTTATGTAAGCCAACTAGACAGACAGTTTATCACTCTTCCTCCTGTACATTATCAGATAAAAGGCATCACATACTTGAATGAATGGTAAATAAAGAATGCTGGAAATAACTGCATCTCCATTAGCCTATATGCTAGCAGAGACTGCCTTCTTCATGTCGTGAATTGCAGCTGATGTTTTAATATGGCAATTGGCAATTTGACTTATACAACATTCGCAAGTTGTACATTTGACTCATACAATAACTCACCTTCGAGTGATGCTCTAGTTTCTTCATGTTTTGTTTTTATCCCCTCTTCCTTGTGCCGGACTGAAACTGTCTTTTCACCGACATCTCTTCACCTGCACTAGTGGCCGTATCAAAGCCGTGATTGGTCAGATGCCAATTCATCGCAACGGTGTCGGGTTACAGACGTGCTCCCCTTCTCACCTCTCACTCTCTCTCGCTGTGCGCGGAGAACTGAGCGGAGAACTGCGCACAGCAGCTGAGGCCCTCTGGGCGGGGCCCCCTGCGCAAGGCGGGGCCCCATGCAGCCTGCGTGATTGGCCTGTAGGGAGGGGCGGCCCTATACTTACTATGTAACGAAATGGTTTCTCTGCAGTTGACCCATCCTAGTGTTATGTACTGATATTGCTGGACTGTTCTAAGTGTAGGGAGCGGTGCCTTGCTCAGGAACACCTCGGTAGCACTTGGTCTTGCCGGGACATGAACTGGTGAGGTTCCAGTTGCCAAGCCAAGTCCCTATCCACTTCGCCACCACTGCCCTTTACCGCCCACATCTGTAGGATTTATGGGATTTTGTCAGTGCAGCAAAATAAAGAAACCCAAACAGAATGAGAGTAAAGTGTGTGTGTAAATGTGTAAAAGAAACAAATCTAAATGCATTAGTGCAGGGTTAATGTAAATAGATAAATACAAATAAAACCAATATACATAACTTATTATTTCTTAGGTTTTCACAGATTCCAGTGCAAAGTGTGTAATGTGAAAAGTGAAAGCACAAGGAGATCAACAACGTTTTTTCTTCAATCGAGTCATTCACCAGTTTGCTGCCGCCCTATATGGCATATATATGAGAAATGGATTAAGCCAACTGCCAATTTAAACATATTTATGATCAGTGAATATAATCTCAAACATCAATCCTCTGGGTCTCCTCTTTCCCTCTGATCAGAAACAAGAAAACCCTTCAACCCTCCGGAGGTCAATGAACATCCCTTTGGTTTCACACACAATACATATTATACTCACATCAGTCAACACCCAAATAAAACAATATGAAAAATGCTCAATAATACAAGTAAAAGTCCAGCAATTATCAGAACATGGATCAAAGTAAAGTACTTTAGAAGCCTAAACCCCTACAAGTGATTTGTATTATTGTATTTTTTAGGGTTAAACCAGTGGCTTCGTGTAATTATTATTAGATAAGTTTACCATTGGGGATCTAAACAGTTATTCAAATAAAGTACTTAAATAAGTTTAGAGGGGTATTTGTAATAAATGGTGGATCCACTGCTTTAATATTGAGCAATGTGTTCTATTCAAAAAGCTTATATGTTTTTTGCAAAAAGAAAATACGTTATCTTTCTTCACCTGTTTTTAGTTTATAAACTAGGTGCGAAAACTATTTAGATCAGACTTTAAAAAAAAAGGGTCACCAGAATGTTTTTCCTCTTCTTTCCAGGAGGGGCATGCAGCAGTTTGGCATCAAAGTGAGCATTATCGAGCCTGGTTTCTTTAAGACAGCTGTTACCAGTGTGGAGCTGATTGACACTGACCTGAGGAGGCTGTGGACCCGCCTCCCTCAGGAGGTCAAAGACTCGTATGGAGAAACATACTTAGAAGACTGTGAGTGGAAGTACAGTCGATCACTATCACCAACAAATAGCTTCAAATAAAAAATCCTGATGTTTGCTCTGTGTTTTTCCTCGCCAGATGTGAAGGCTCAGGAATTCTCCATGGGCATCCTGTGCAGTCCAGATATCTCCAAGGTGACCAGGTGTATGGAGCACGCGCTGACGGCCCAGTTCCCACGCACACGCTACAGCACAGGCTGGGATGCCAAGTTGTTTTGGATCCCTCTGTCCTACCTCCCTTCATTTGTGTCAGACTTTGTTGTCAATATGCTTCTTCCTTCTCCTAAAGGGTAACAAAGAAAGGCAACTAAACTAAACAATATGACACATTTTCCAAAGTGTTTAAAGAAATTATTTGTGACAATACATTTTTTTTAAAAGTGTCAAGATTGTTACAAAATAGGAAATTTATTCATTTCATGTCCCAGCAATTTAAACCATATGTTGTGGATGATCACATATACAGATTTTTTGTACAAGTCCTTATTATGATACAAAATAAATCATTCTGTAAAGTTAAGAATTTCTTCACCGTGTTTACATAATGACAGTGTACATCTGCATCCTCAGGTCACGTGTTGCTAAATAATCAACTGCTTAAATGAATTTACATTGAAAACCGACAAGGGCACGTTCGAGTATTGCTCCAAGCTGATGTTGGCCATTGTTCCAAAATGATTAGTAAACTGTGATCATGTTGATTCAAAGTCAGGGAACAAAGTGATTTTGATTAAGAGTACAGTATGCTTTGCACACGCTTTTTACACCTGTTTACACTGGAGCAAATATCTTTGTAAAATTAAAAAGCAATTACTAAATTCCAATTACTCTTGTTTAGTTTCCAGCCCTGAAATGAGGTATATAAACATGTAAGATTTAGATACATCTTCAGTTTTGTTCAGTGGCAATTACTCAACACATTTCTCTAACAACCTTTGATCATTTACGTGCTGTACATTCAGAATGCGGATCACTTTTACTCTGTTATTGTGTTTATGCTGAACTATTCATAGGATCTATTTCAAAGATATTTTCTGACAAAATCTTACTGTTCAAATTTACAAATATACAACTTATTTATAAACATTTCTATCAGCAGCTTCAGTGCAAAGATATACATTTTGTACATCAGAATAAAGAAAACATTAACACAAGAATTGGCATATGAAATGTCAAAAGGCATAGTCACAGAGGACTTATTTTCTTCATTCTTTAGAAATGTATTTCTCTTTCCTAAAACAAGTTGAAGTTTTATACACAGGCTGCATAAAAAAATAAATTCTGTGCAAAGTGTGTTTCTTTTTTTGATTCCTCGTCTGTGAGAGAGGGGTTATACGTCGCTGTCCTCTTTCACGAGGTTGGCTGTGTCTTTGAAACTGTCCTCGGTTGGAGAAAAGGTGCTCGGACGTTCCCTCTTCGGAGGTTTGGCGGGGGGGGCAAATGGAGAGGGCTCGGGGGCCGCAGAGTCCCCGCTGCTTCCTACTGGCTTGTCATCCTTCATCTGTGGAACAACACAGAGGGTAAACAAGCCAAAAGAGAACACGTTCATACCTTAAATAGTGTCTTAATACTAACCTCTGAATATGAAGGGTTTTCAAACGTGGAGCTTGGCTTTAATTTTCGCTTGAATAAGCTCCACTTCGACTCCTGCAAACAAACAGTGAGGTGGCATCCCACAAATAAAAATACTTACATTGTTTTATGAACTGTTTTTTTATGTTATGATTCTTGTAAGAGTCTTAATAAATGGTTTATTGCTTAGTTGTTCTATTTCTGTTTGTGTTCTTGTACATTTTCTTAGGTCTATCTTGGAAAAGAGAGAAATATAAACCCATACTCCGGACATGGACTCACCTGAGCAGGATTGGTGTTGACAGAAGTTGTGTTCACAGTGACTGCACTCTGATCTCCGTGATATGCCGGGTTCACAAACTTGTTCTCCAACTGTTCACCACTCACATTAACTGTCACCTGTTGAGGAACACAATGTCAGTTTCATAATCCATGAGGATTGATCTGATTGGCTCAGCCATCCACATTTTTGTTTGTTTTGAATGGTTAATATAATCATCAGGAGGTACATCCAGAAATCTCTGTAGGTGCTGAAAAGCAATTTTTAATCACAAAAAAAAGAACAAAACATACTAGCATTTTTGCTCTTTATATCTTTTTTGTGCACTAATAGGATACATGTTGGTATTGATAAACCTAAAATCCATCATTTTATAAAAAGGTAAAAGGGTAGCCCATTCCCTATCTCAAAGTTAAGGAGGTCAAAATACCAGAACTTGTCTTATTGAATCGGCTCACAATCCACAGACATAATCTTACATGTTACAACATTAAGCCTACTGCAGAGCATTTTGATGAAATCCATTTTTGTAAGAAAGACTGTGGAAACACATTTCCTTTCACGGAGGAAAATAGGTGAAGGAAACCGCTTTGTATTACTCTTGATCCATGAGGTTTTTTATTTCTCAAATGTGGGCGAAAAAAACATGAATTCATTCATAAATGATACCTGTGTGGCGTGGATGACTGCAGGATCACTGGGCACTCCAGGAGATGTTGCGTATAACGGGTTCTCAAACGTGATTGGCTGCCTCCCAGCTTCCAGGGAGAAATTATCATCCTATAGGGGGAAAACATTTTGAGTTTATTTCTTGTTACACTCATAAAGACACGCCATCAATTTATTTTTTACTACCGATTACATAAGCGGTTTTAACAGTCAAGTAAAAATACCACATAGTACTTTGGATTTCGAGTAAAAAATGCTGATAGTTCACTTTGAGTGACTTAAGGAAAAATATGAACTGCTAAGCGTGCTTCCAGGGCTCACCATCTGCATGGCTGTGTCAATGAATGACACTCCAATGTGTGCCGGTCCCAGATCAACATTATCACCGGAGCGAAACGTCACCCCGTTCCCAGTGTCACCGGACTTCACCAAGCTGCTGAGGCTGGACAAAAACAAAACGCTGTGAACTTTGATCTGAATTCTGCCTGCATCAACTTCTGTAGTTTTCATTCGTAAGCAGAAACAGAGAGTAAAAACAACAATGAGGTACCTGGGTAGTTTGGGCATGGAGGGGATGAACGATCCTGTTCGTTTGTAGTTGAGGAAAACACCGACAGCCAGAGCTCCAGTGATCAGGATGATGATGACTGCCAGGAGAACAGCCACAGCTACAAAACAGTTTACAAATATTTAGTCTTAAGCATATTAAACCCTTTCAGGTTGTGCTGATCATAAACATTCCTACTTTAATAAACATTTAGCTGAGTCGTCCTAACTGGTCATACCTTAAATGACCTTTTTAGTTTGGTTAACAATTGGAGAAGTTAAACAGTGATCAAATCAAGTATTACAGATTAAGGAAATGTGTGATTTTGGCATGTCAACACTAAAAAAAAAAAATGGCTTTTAGGATAGCAACGACTGAATATGGTTTATCAGAAACAAGAAAAACCTGCATGTTCAGCACACATTTCCAGTGGGGGTTTTTTGTTGTTGAGGATTGCCATCCTCCAGAGGTCAATACACATCTCTTTGGTTTTACACACAATCATTCAATATTAGAAGTACTCACATCAGTTAACACCTTAACACAACAATATGAAAATGCTCACTGATACAAGTAAAAGCCCAGCAATTATCAGAAAATGCATCAACATAAACCCCTACATGTGATTTATTATTATTACATTTGACATTGTTTTGTTGATCATGAAGCTTTTTACTGTTTTAGCTGTTTAAGGTGGAGCTGGTTTTAATTATGTTACAAACAGAGGGTTAATGGATAGAGGATAAGTTTATCATTCGGACCCAAACAGTTATTCAAATAAACTACTTAAAGAAGTTTAGAAAGGTATTTGCTCAATTCACTTTGGTCAAGTCTCTCGTGTCTCGTCAAATGTGTTAGTTGTGTCATTTCATGTTTAGTCAGGTATTTATGTAATTCCAAGTCTAGTCAGGTTTCTATGTAGAGTCAGGTTTTCATGTTACTTCACGTCTTGTCTGTCATCTCTAGTCAAGTCCCCATGTTTCATGTCATGTCTCGTTTTCCCATTTCCTGTTTTATTTTGTACTTACCTCTTGTCTTTCTTTTCAGGCCCTGTTACTTCCTCCCTTTGTGTGTTTTCCCGCCATCGTCAGCATCTGCCTCGCCCCTGATTGTTTCTACCTGTTCCCACTTCCCTCATGTCTAAATAGTCCTTATCTCCTTTTGTCTTGTGCCAGTTCGTCTTGTTTCAGAGTGCTTCACATGTCCAGAGACCCAGCGGATACCAGAGAGGAGAGTTTTTGTTTGTTAGAAATCAAGAGTTTTATTTTGTCTTCGCAAGAGTGATCTTTTGTTTAAACTTGGTTTATTTTTCTCATTAAAAAGTGAGTCGTTGAAATTGAGTCCAGTATTTTTGTACCTCGTTCTAACAAAGTCACTGTCAGGTAGATAAACAAGAAGTGTGATCACGCTTAGCCTTGATCTGCTCCAGTAGAGCCAACAGTGTGAAGGACTCCCTCAGGTTTTGAATGGAAGAATTTGAGTCGACATTTGAAGATAAATGGGAGAGAAGGTAGTCCAAACTCAATGTACCCCTGAGTCTTAAGCACTGATTCCTCAGAAACTGAAACTTTAAAAAAATGGATACAAATATAGTTCACTGATGAACAACCATACCTGTTCCTCTTGGAGCGCCCCTCGACTTCCCCATCTCACAGTAGCTGCCCACATAACCGTACGGACATCTGCAGAAAGGCATGATCATTTGGTTACAAGAGGAAACAACATCTTGAAGTGTATTTAAAACAAATTGAGTGCCATAATGTCTTGCATTACTGGATATGACTCAATGAGAATCTTGAAGTGTATTTAAAACAAATTGAGTGCCATAATATCTTGCATTACTGGATATGACTCAATGAGAATCGCTCCATCACCGGTGTGAATGTCTCCAACAGCCAAACTCACTTGCACTTGGGCAGACCGCCTTCATCAGTGTAGCAGGTTCCACCATTCATGCATCTACACGCAACAGGCATTGCAACGAGTGGCTCAATGGCTGCAGGAGCAAAAGCCAGGCATACACAGAATCAACAACAAAACAAAATCACAGCACAGAATTCACAAAACCACACAGGAGCAGCCTGACACGTACTGAATGAAGAATGGATTTACAAATGAGATGCAACACGACGAGCAGGCAGCAGCGGTTTACCTGCGTCACATTCATTGGAGTCAAACTGCACAGGAGAGGAGCCCTGAGGGCAGGCGCAGGTGTACCCCCCCGGCCGCAGGAGACACAGGTGGCTGCACACATTCTTACAAGGGTTGGGTACTGAGGAGGAGAAAACAAAAGAACATCACTGTTAGATACAGTTTTATTATTGCATTACTTTTTTATTCTTTTAGGCTAATCATCATGTCGCTTTACCTCTTTGTTATTGCTGCCTTTCTAAGCCAGAAAACAAAAAGAGGGTCAATCTATATATTCTGTCTGTGTTGGATTTAGTAGATACAT